CATTCCCGGTTCCCGGTTCCCGTACTGTATTCCCGCAGTTTCCGTTCGTCCTGCAGCACCCGGCCCTGGTAGATCCCGTTCCCGTTCCCGTTCCCATTCCCGGTTCCCATTCCCGGTTCCCATTCCCGGTTCCCATTCCCGGTTTCCCGGTTCCCATTCCCGGTTTCCCGGTTCCCGTACTGTATTCCCGCAGTTTCCGTTCGTCCTGCAGCACCCGGCCCTGGTAGATCCCGTTCCCGTTCCCATTCCCATTCCCGGTTCCCATTCCCATTCCCATTCCCATTCCCGGTCCCCATTCCCGGTTCCCATTCCCGGTTCCCGGTTCCCATTCCCGGTTCCCGGTTCCCGTTCCCGGTTCCCCGGTTCCCGTACTGTATTCCCGCAGTTTCCGTTCGTCCTGCAGCACCCGGCCCTGGTAGATCCCGTTCCCATTCCCGGTTCCCGGTTCCCGGTTCCCGTTCCCATTCCCGTTCCCATTCCCGGTTTCCCGGTTCCCATTCCCGGTTCCCGTACTGTATTCCCGCAGTTTCCGTTCGTCCTGCAGCACCCGGCCCTGGTAGATCAGCCGCTGTTTCTCGGCCGCGATGCTGACGGCGCCGGCGATTCGCTGCTTGAACTCCCGCACCGAGATCTGCCGGGGCACCGGGGCACCGGGAGGGGTCAGACCAAACCAGGGGGCGGTTCACAGAACCGGGAGGGGTCACCGGGGCTCACACAGAACCGGGGGTCACACCGGCACGGAGAGGGGTCACATCAAACCGGGAGGATCACACAGAACGGGGCATGACACCGGGGCTCACACCGACCCGTGGGTCACACCGGGGCTCACACCGGGGCTCACACCGGCAGCACCGGGGAGCCGTGACCGGCACCGGGAATGGGGGGAGATGACACCGGGGGTGACACAGACCCGGGGGTCATACCGGGGCTCACACCGGGGCTCCCACCGGGGCTCCCACCGGTGGTCACACAGACCCGTGGGTCACACCGGGGCTCACACCGGGGCTCACACCGGGGCTCACACAGACCCGTGGGTCACACCGGGGCTCCCACCGGGACTCCCACCGGCAGCACCGGGGAGCCGTGACCGCCACCGGGGATGGGGCGGGGGGGAGGTGCCCCCGCCATCTCCCCACCCCCCGCTCACCTCCGGTTCCACCTCGAAGCTCCGCGTCTGCGAGTCCAGCGTCTTCACCAGCACCTGCAGCACCTCGGGCCGCTCCTCCGCCATGGCGGCACCGGCACCGGCACCGGGCGGGGCGGCGGCGACGGGAACGGGCGGCCCTGAGGGGTGAGAGGCCGTTGGAGCGGGGCCGCTCCCGCCCGAACCCGCCGCCCGGGATCCCCGGGCCCCTCCCGGGCCCCTCCCGGG